GCGCGGGGCATGCCGGGAAGAAGGGCCCGAACGCCGCCGTCGCCATGGCGTGTGTCCTCCAGCCCCCCCCTTCAGGGGGCGGACTGCGCCTGCGCGCCGGTCGGGAGGGCGAATGAGGGAGGGACAGGGCCGCCTTGCAGCGCGAGGCATGCCGGGAAGAAGGGCCCGAACTCCACCGCCTCCATCGCGTGTGTTCTCCAGCCCCCCCCGTAGCCGACTGCGCCTGCGCGCCGGCTGGGAGGGGGGGGACGCCTTTACAGCGCGGGGCATGCCGGGAAGAAGGGCCCGAACTCCGCCGCCTCCATCGCGTGTGTCCCCTAGCCCCCCTCGGGAGCCCGACTGCGCCTGCGCGCCGGCCGGAGGCCGCCTTGCAGCGCGCGGGGCATGCCGGGAAGAGGGCCCCGAATTCCGCCCGGCCCGCCCAGCGAGGAGAGGCCTCCGCCCCGCCCGGAGCCCTCCCTCCTCCCCCCCTCCCCACTTCGGGGACGCTCCCCCTCCCCGCCGTGTTCCCGGGAGAGCTGAGAGAGGCGGCGAAGAAGGAGGCCGGGGACCGCGGGGGAAATGATGGGGGGGGGGAGGGAGAGCGGCGTGGGCGGGGCCTGGCCCGCCATTGGCTGCTTGGCCGTCCACGTGACGCTGCCCGGCCCGGGCATGGCTTCCTTCTGGTCCGCGCCGCCCTCCCGCCCCGCCGCGCTTCCAGAGCGGCCCCGCCAGTAGCAGCCGCGGCACCTTGAGCCGAAGCCCCGGCGCCGGCATGGGGGAGAAAGCGGGCACCAGGTGGGCTGAGCAGCCTCGAAACGGGCCCGGCCCCAAGCAGTGCGACGCCTCGCCTCGCCTCGCCTCTGCCCGGTCCGGATCATGCCCGCCGGATGCCCGGAGACCCGGCGGCTTGCAGACGAGGGCGGCGGCGGCGGGGTGGACGGGGACGGGACGGGATCCCCCTGCCCTCCCGCCGCCCCCGGGCCGGCTCTCCTGCTCCGCGGGCGTCGCACCTGCTGCCTGGCACCCCCCGTCCCCGTCCCCTCCCGGTGGGGCGGCTGTGCTTGGGGGGGTGGAGGATGGAGGGGGGGGGCTCCGGGCATCGGGGCGACGTGCCTGTATATGGGGAGGGGGGGGGGGGGGTTTGGGGGGTTGGGGGGGGGGGGGAAGGTTTCTACTTCTGCCTGCCTACATCCTCTTTTTTTTTT